GTTTATCAAGCACCAAGTATAAACTATCAACTGTCTTGGCTAGGAATAATGGATGAAATTCTTAGGACCAATTAAATTTTTTATTTGTTGATTATAGCTTGAAAAAGAAAATTCAATTCAGTTTATGAATATGAAGTTGGATGGAAAGAATTATTCATATTAGATTTATGTGACGAGAAATTTTCTTAAAGGTAAAAAGATGTAAGGTTATGTTAGTGAAGCTTCTGTGAAACCTATGAATACTAATAAAGGTTATACTGCTTTGATAGATACCTGAAAAGTAAACAATGCAAGAATTATTACTTGAATTAACAATTTTATTGAGCATTTCATAGATACATAGTTGGAGAAATATGAGATAATAAAGAAGGTTTCAGATCATTTACAAATGTTATTCACTAAATTAGATTTTGCAAAGTAGTATCAATTAGAGAATGACATGCAAGCTTTTCACCAAAAGAATATAAATATTCAGGAGTTTTATTATGTTATGACAGATCTTTGGAATCAATTAACTCTTATAGAAATGACATAATTAAAGAAATATGGTGCCTATATTACTTGTAGATAGCAGTAATAATTGGTATAATTTTTAACGACACTTCGCAGTGATTTTAAAAGATTAAGAAGTTCAATTTTGCATCATTCTCTATTTTTTTCTATTGATTTTTTTGTCAGTAAGTTATTAGTTGAAAAAATATATTTTTAGTCTTATTCTAAAAAGGGTATTATTTATATTTTTAATCATTATATGCTACTAGTACCCTTTAAACTACTCTCTAATAATCAAAATAAGCATTACACAAGGGTTGCCTTCGACGAGTATAGTTTATGTAAGCAGAAAGGTCATTGGAAGACTCAATGTCCTAAGTTGAAATAACATAATCAATCACCATAGCTATCTCAAGCTTAGAAGCCTCGAAACCAATCACAATCTAATGCTTGTAGACCATCTCAGGGTTACAAACCACCACAATTTAATACTGCAATAATAGTTTTATCAAGTCCTTTCACCGATCCTAATACTTTAACTGAACAATTTTAGGAGTTTTTCTCCTTATAACCACAAACCATGTTTTCTTCTTCTTTCATATATCAATTGCCTCATAGTCTTTCAAGTATGTCACTTTCTTAATAGGTCTTAGATTCTGATACTTCATATTATATGTCTCCAAATTCATCATCTTTTGCTTTTATGTCTCCTTTATCTTCTATTCATGTTATGACCGTTGATGACACTCTTATACTTTTAGCAAATGTTGGTTTTGTTATCACACCTCAATTGTCTATCCCTAATGTTTATCTTATTCTAACCTCATATTGAATTTTACTTTTGTTGTCACTTATATGATTCTAGTCATTATTTAATCATATTTTTCTTCTTTTTTTTTGTGTATAAGATCTGCAGTCTTGAAAGTTGATTGTGATAGGTTATAAGAAAGGGGACTATATATTTTAGACAAGTTAAAAGTGTCAGTTGTTGTTGTTGTTGCTGCTAGTATTAGACAAGTTAAAAGTGTCAGTTGTTGTTACTACTGCTGCTAGTGTGCCAATTATTGCTGCTACTAGTGTTGATTTGTCATTTTTGTAGGAGTCTTTCTTCTAGTTTTAATTTAAGATATTCTCGTCTAGGTCATGTTTTATCTTCTCATTTGAAATTTTTGGCATCCATGAGAGCTTAAGGAAATTTCCAAACTTGTGATATTTCGATTGTAATGGATGTAAATAGACAAAATTTTCTGTTATACCTTTTAATCAAAATACTTTTGTTTCTTCTTTTCCATTTAATTTGATTCATTCTAATGTATGAGGACCTTTTCCTATTGTCACAAAATAAGGATCTTGATATTATTTTCTTTATTGATTATCATACTCGTTATTATTGGATTTATTTAATGAAACATTGTTCTAAATTCTTTGAGATATATACAACATTTCGCACTTTTGTCAAAATTCAACATTCTGTTATTGTCAAATATTTTAGGTGTGAGTTGGGTAAGGAAATACTCCTCTAATAAATTTTGTGAGTTCCCTACCCTAGATGAAACTATTCACTAAACTTCATGTACAAATACTCTTGAGCAAAATGACATTGATGAAAGAAAACATAGGCATATTATTGAAACTATTTGTTCTCTTTTATTGTTTGCTTTGTTCCTGACATGTTGTGGGGTAAGGTTGTTCTTATTGTTGTAGGTTTGATTAATACAATTTTATTTTTTCATATTTTAGGTTTTTCTTCTTTTGAAAAGTTGTTTAAGTAAACCCCTGATTATTCTTTCTTTAAAGTGTTTAGTTATACTTGTTTTGTTCTTCATCCTCGTGTAGAATGTTGTAAGTTGTCATCTTAATCTGTTATTTATGTATTTATTGGTTATGATGAATGTCAAAAGAGGTATTAGTTTTTTGATCCAATAACTCAGAAACTTTATGTGTTTCATCATGTTATTTTTCTTGAGCATATACTTTTTATTTTCTATTTCATCCACTGCTCATAACTTGACTAGATCTAATCTTATTTGTATAGATATCTTTTTCAAGGATTCTGATAGTTTATCATCTTAGGTTTTTAGTACTTCAAATCCCTCTTCTCATGTTGACTAATTTATACTAATCATTCTACAGGTACTAATATTTTATTCTTCAGTACATCTAAAACTCCTCTTTCTTTTATAGTCTCTTAAACTTCATTTGAGATTATGGATCCACCTCTACATCAATCTATATGTATTTGTAAGTTCATAAAATTACAAGATTTTACATGTTCTTGTTATTCTTTATCTTTTACTTTCTTTTTAGCTTTTATTCATTCTCTTTAAGCCCTTTTTTTATGAAGAAACAATTCTTAATTCTTTTTTGCAGAACCTTATAGACGAGAAACTTTCAATTTTGTATAAGATAAATACTTAGAATTTGATTCATCTACCTCCTAGTAAAAATATTATTTGTTGTCATTAGATGTTTAAAATCAAGACTAATTATGATGGATCTATTGAATGATATAAACTAGGTTGGTTGCAAAAAGATACTCTTAACAATATGGTATAGATTATGAGGACATGTGTGCTCTTATTGCAAAAATGACTGTTATTCATGCTCTAATTGCAATAGCTTTGGTTTGTTAGTGTCATGTCTCTTAACTTGATGTTAAAAATATCTTTTTAAATAGAGATCTTCAAGAAGAAGTTTATATGACGCCCCTTCCTAGTGTTTCACATTATTTTAGATATGTTTGCAAGCTTAAAAAAGCATTATATGGTCTCAAACATAACGTTTGGTTTGAACACTTTTTTATTGTGATCTCTTCTCTTGGATTTGTGTTCTAATGGTCATGAGTTTGTTTTTTTTGTTAAGTGCATTGATTCAGGTCGTATTATTTTGTCTTTATATATTGATGACATGATTATTACTTGTGAAAATATTAATGATATTTCAGTTTTGAAGACAAAGTTAACTAGACAGTTTGAAATAAAGGATTCAGGTTCTCTATGGTATTTCTTGGGTATTGAGATAGTTTACTCATCTAAAGGTTATCTTCTTTCTTAGTTAAAATATGTTACAGATATTCTTGAACTGGTTAAACTTACTGATAATATGACTGTAAATACTCTTATTAAGGTTAACACAAAGTATTTTTTTTTTCTAATGGTTTTTTTTTGTCAGATCCTACTTTATATTGTACTATTGTTGGGAGCTTGGTATATATTACTATTACTCATCCAGATATTGATTATGTTATTCATGTTATTAGTCAATTTGTTACTTTTTCTATTATTGTTCATTAAACAGTTGTTTTTGTATTTTATGATATCTTCGGAGTATGGTCATTCAGAATCTTTTACTTTCATCCACCTTTTTTTTAAAGCTTCATGCATATTCTAATAGTAATCATGGCAGTGATCTTACATATTGCAAGTCTATTACTAGTTTTTGTATCTTTTCGGGTGATTCTTTTATTTATTAAAATAACAAGAAATGATCTATTGTTTCAAAAGAGATTATTTGATTACATTAGTTACTTGCATATATAAGAGTTTATTTTCTCATCTCACTCTTATATATTGTGACAGCTAGAGTTGTATTCAAATTGTTTATAACACAGTTTTTCATAAACAAAATAAGCACATTGAGATCGATTATCATCTTACTCGTTATTATCTCAAGCATGTCACAATTACTTTGCCCTTTATTCCTTTTTCTTTGTAAATTGCATATTTTTTTTTATCAAGTTGCATTCTATTTTCTACTTTTGTTTTCTAGTTGACAAACTCTAAATGTTTATAGTTGTCGTAATGTGAGTTTAAGAAGAGATATTATGAAATATAATGTTATTTTATCTTATTATTTATTAAGGGTAAAATAGTCTTTATATTTTCTTTTTAGTTTTTTTATTTAGCTTATATATAGTCTTTTTGTATATTTTCTTTTTAGTTTTTTTATTTAGCCTATATATATATAGTCTTCTTATATTTATATTAAATCTATTTCTTTTGATTATTTTAATTGTATTATGTAGTATTAATGAAACCTAACTTTTTTATTATGCAATATCAATAAAACCCTAACTTTTTTATTTTTTTATTATTTCTTTAGATTGTTTAATATTCCAAACATCATGAGGAAGCAATTTCTTGATGGGGAGAACAGGATTTGCAAATGCCTTTAATTTATGCAAGACCACAACATGGATTAGGTTCATGGGTTTTCCCTACTTTAAAAGAAAATGACGAGAGTTAAGATTCAGGATTATCATTCTCCCTCTTCTCCGTCACATGGAAATTCAACACAAAATAGGTTCAGAAAAGTTCGCGAAAGCCCAAAGGAAAAAAGGCTTGAATGAGTAATAACAAAGTTTTAGCTTGCAAGGAACAGTCAGGAGAACGGCACACCCTAAGCCTTTTGTTAGATGAAAAACAATAGCTTGAAGTGACCAAACACACATCATTACTTGGCGTGCTCGTATTCTATCTTTTGCAATTTTAAAATCTTTATCCTGCAAGGATCCTCACATGAAAAATGCATCAATCACCTGCCTAAATACAGCACACAATCTGCCCTTTATGCAGCTTATAATGAAGGGTTTTTGAACATTTCAAATATTATCATTTCACTATGTCTGCTAAAGGTTCTTGGCCTTCTTACAATCTACGAAGTTTTCTGGAACTAATTAATCGTTGCAGAGCCAGCTCCAGCAATGTTTCTCACAGCTGCGGGTCTGGTTCTCCAGTGTCGAAGATCGGCCAAGGTTTATCGATGCACCAAGGATTACAGTTAATCGTTGCCAATAGCAATAAATGGAGACGATCTCATTTCAAAATGTTATTATCCTTTTTGAAGTTCATTGTTTTGTTGTCTCAGTTCAAATTTTTTATTTATTTCAATAGCTTGATTTTATCTAACAAAATATTGCTGCAATTTTTATTTTTATTTTTTCTCCTGTTTATGATCTAGAACGAAGAGCGACAAGGTTGTACCACCAGTTCCAAATCCTCCTGGAAGCAACTCCCCCACTTGGTATGAATTCAATTTGCACTTGGGATTTTAAGCCACAAGCTTCCCCCACATGAATTGAGGTGTTATTATTTGCGTAGTAACATTGCAAGAAACGCCACTCCATGCAGGGCAAAATGGATCTTGGGATCTATACTATCCGTCTTCCTGCCTTTTTGGAAGCAAAAAAGGGAGGAGCTGAATAGGATAGAAGGTACATAAGTTCCTAATGTATGCTCATTAATTTACCAAGTCTTCTTTATCAACTTGGGAGAATCTTATTTTAGGAGTGGCGGAAATTATTGTAGACGAGGTTGAACATGTAGCTGAGGAGATAGAAAAGGTGGCAACAGTGGCGGAGAAGGTATCAGAGGAGGTGGCAGAAGTGCTGCCTGAAAACGGAAAACTGAAGGAAACAGCTTTGTTGATAGAACACGTTTCGAAAGCAACTGCACATGATGCTAAACTAACTCAAGACTTTATTCACAAGGTGAGTTGCTACAAGAGATTTCAACTGCCATTAATAGCATAAAGTTCAAAGAAACTGGAAGAACAAAACTTGAAAACATGCATGCATTTGTTGACAAATGTAATCTTTTTTCTTTTTCCTTTTCTAGATAAAACATGCAGGTGGATGCTCAGCATGACATTGATGACTTGAAGATAATGGTTGACCCTGTAATTGAAAAGATTGTGCAGCAAAACTCCCGAGGAAAGTAAAAAGGGAGAGAGAATCAGTTGCCACTATTAACACAAGCAAAAGCATATGTTTCTTTGCATTAAGAAATGAATCTATATGGACCTCCTCCAGTTCTCTGTAATTATGCAATCATTCATATTTGAGAATGCTTATCAGAGATAATGTTAATTTCATTATAAAACAAAGGTGCCTGAACAGAGCAAATAGCAATAGAATTGTGACTAAACTTCTGAGAAACTGATTCTAACTGTAAAATCAAAAGAATTCACTGAACTTGTAAACAACTGCAGCTAACTATAAAATCAAACCCACTAAATTTGAAACAAAGCAAAAGGCAAAGATAATCCATTCAAAATGACGAGGATAGCATATTAATAGATATTTTTTCCTCTAAGCACGCATAGCCTACAGAAGATTCATGGATTGTGGTCGAGGAGGAGGTCACTCTGATTGTTTTCAGCCACGAGACAAACAAATATACTGCAGTATCAGTGTGCATATGGATTTATCAACAGGGGATACAAAAGTTTCAGTTGACAATTTTCCAGTCAGTGATCGACAATTAGAAAGAGAGAGAGAGAGAAAAAAGGTGGGCTCACTTCAGTGGTTCTATTTTTTCATTTTACAAAAAGAGAAACCAAATCTTGAGCAGCAAAAAGGAGTTTTGAATACCTCAAAATTAGAAACAGTGATGTGCTAGATTCATAGGAAAGAAGGCTAATGCAAGCATGAAACATGAGGCACGGAACAACTGATATGCATGTAATATTTCTAAATTATACATGTGTGGATATCATATACTTTTATATACAAATAACTTACAATGTAGTCAGTACAGGTTTTATAATGTAGCAGGATGTACAGACCTCAAGTGCGCATAGCAGTCATCACCGCTCATAAAGAACTCCAAGCAGACCCAGCAGATGTGTTTCCCACATCTGCACTCAATGTGGTTGCAGCCATCTACCTTCTCAATTGTGTATCCACATACTGGGCAGTTTCTAACATGCTCTTTTCCCTTGCACCATTCCTTCAAGGACATGTCAGGATCCTCCTTGAGCTCCTTGTATTTTTCACATGATACAAATGGATGATACTCCACATGGCACCTTGTACATGTCTCGGCATAGCATGCTCCACAAACAAATGGATCACCAACCATCCCGCTTGCTACACGATATACTGAAGGGCAATCAGGAGATGGGCAAAATCTGTAAGTTCCACCACTAGATGCCACGAAAGCTGACAAGGAGGCCCTGAAGAGATCCTCTAACTTTTCACATGGTAAAAGAGACTTCAGATCTGTAAGCCAAATGTGCATGCCACAACCTTCATGAGCACAGCCTGCAGGGAAGCCATCACGTCCTCTAATTGCTGACTCTAACTGTTCAACCAAGCATGACTGGCAGAATTTATGCCCACAAGCCTCAAGCTGGTAACAGTCCTCAACCTCACAAAGGCAAATAGGGCAGGCAATATTGTCATCTTCATATTGTTTGATGGATCCATTAACACTGACAGACCATGCAAAGTCACGAATCATCTGCTCCACTTGGAGTCTCAGATCCTTTTTTCCAGAAAAGGAAATAACATGTCGCCTTGTATTAAGCATAAATTCAGCCTCAGGGAACATCTCTTTGAGCACATGCAAGTCAGGACCAAACTTCTCCACAACTTTTTTCATAAGATCATATGGCATTGCTCCACCTCGAAGGCGGATATCTGTTTGTTCCTTATCATGTAGGGCTAGAAGAGATGCTATCAACTTCTGTTCAGTAAGAGCAACTTTCTTCTCGGGGCCAAAGACCCTAACAGTGAGGTTCTGCCTATCAAAGAGAATATATGTTCCCATCTCTTGCTGCAGTGACTTCATAAGCATGATGCCATCTTTGGAAAAAAGAAGCTGCAGAACCATTGGGGTGAGGCTACAATGATTTATCTTCTTTCCATTCATCAGTTGCTCCAGCGGCCTTCTCAACTCAGCTACTGTCTTTGTTGCATTAGCAGATATCTTCACTCTATAAGAGCCATTCTCATTCCTTTCTAAATTGCAACACACACCTGCATAGTCAAATTTGTCAGCACCTGATTACTATCAAACAACGTTCAGGAAATAATAAACAATTGGCACATTTCGTATTAAATCATGGAGTTAGGTTAAACAGTAATGTAAAATGAGGAACAAGTTGTTACTGGACTGATCAGCTCCATAATTCCCGTCCATATAAATTGCCAAGCCTAGGGGCATGTGTTCAGTTTCTCCATTTGTTTGATTTAGAATTTTTCTTTTGGGTTTTCAATAATAACAACCTAACAAAACCAAAAAAATCATATAAAAACCAAATTAAATCATCCAAAAAGTAGCTACTCAATAAAAGAAAACCCCAATTTTGTTATTTTGTTACTGTATGGAGTAATACATAAAGATCCCGGTAAGTCAGATTCCATTGTTGAAGCAAAAGCTTCTAATTATAAATAACATTTTATCGTAAAAATTAGTGCTCCATGCTTCAAGCATATATCCAAAGAATTCCAGGCTGGTAGAAAAATAGGCAGTGGCTTGCTCACATGAATATGACCTAGGCTATGAATTAATTCTAAAATTATCAGTTCTTTCTTCCTCTATGTCACTCCACAGGTACATGGCGAATCCTACAAAACACAGGACCAGATCTGAAAACAAACTAGATCCCTGTGATCTGTTGAAGGCGGTTCCATGACTCTGAAGTCTGACACACATGATAAGTAACTTTTCCGTCTACTCCAACCTCAAGCTTAAAAGCAACCTCTCTACAGTTGGCATTCCCTAATCAAAGCTGGTTCTTAATTAATCTAATTTGGGCTCCATAACAACTCCTATCATCACTTACAATACAGACCGATACTCGAGGTCAAATTCACTGTATCCAGTCAACCAAAATGAAAGTAATACCTAAAATTATCATGGTTACACTAGAATCTCAAATCCCAATCAATTTTAAAAAACATTTAACTATCTACATCAATCCTAAAGCATATAAACAGGCCTTAATGGAATTTCTCCTATTTTGGACTGAATCTTCAGTGTCTCACAGCATGAGCCACATTGCACATACTGCTTTGACGGAATGAAAGTAAAAAAAAAAAAAACAGAAACAACCCATTTAGAATAAACCAATATCAGGACCAAGTAAAATTAAAAAGGAAAAGAAAGAGAACTGGTGCATCCCAAACAAAAGATGCTTAAAGATTTCCTAAGACCAAAGTGTGCCATCCATCCAAAAGTCATTCATGTAGTTTCACTATTTGCCTGAAGCTCATGGTTTTGACCCATACATGTGCTTGAAATTCTGTATCAGTACTGAAATGAACCAGCTATAATTAAAGGAACTTATTCACAGAAAAATTGATTGTCAAACTCAAGATCCTTTGATGCCAAAAAGAAAAAAAAAATGCTTTTAAAGAAGATGGTTTCATGAGATTACCAGGACAGGTCCACCATAGAGAATTAGGCCATCAGTCAAGAAAAACAAGAAAACAATTCACATTACCTCAATACAGGATATCAGGTCATAATAAAAGAGATTTAATTCAAAGAACATTTGATTGTCAATTCAGAAATGATTATTTAAAAATTTACCAGGATGGATCTAGCATTAAGAATTTATCCATTCAGTCAAAAAAGAAAAACAATTCACCACAAACTCCTTCAGAGTGAGAGGAATTACCAGGTCGAAACTTGAAGCTTTTCAGTAAAATATTCAGCTGCCTCTCAATGAATGCATAAACAGAAGCAGAACATGATGCAGAGCTATGGAACACCTGCTGGCATTGCATCTTCTGCCATGAAAAACAACCAGCAAGTGCTTTTCCTTGCATATGTTGCAGAGCTTTAGCTGCCTCCAAATGTAATTTTCCATCAAAAGTGATCCAAGCCTTCATGAAACTATCCTTTGGCTCAGGGGCGAAGACCTGAACATGGCAGTAATTGCTCAAAGGGCCCTGGCTAGGCATGAAAGGAGCAATTTCCTTGAGAATTGCTTGCTCAAAAGCATCAACAGAATGATTATTTACTTCATCTCCTCTGATTAGGAATACATCCAAAATTCTCCTATTTGTTGTCTTGTGCAGAACTTCTAAAATTTCTGCTTCAGAAGTTTCTTTATCCAGTCCTCTGATAACTACAGAGTTCATGTCTCTTGTGCTGGTCTGACACTGAACAAACCTGCCTCCAATCAGAACATTAAAGCAATCATCAACAATGAACTGGGCATCATTCCTTTCACATCTGACAATTGCAAACCCTTTGCTATACCGGCGTGGCCAACTGATTTTTGCTTTTACGGCAGCAAATGATGACTTTCGAATACCTCCAACAGATGACCGAGACAGGGACAACTTAAGCACACCTCCACACAACTCGGATCCATTAAAATATAGAGCTTTTCTAGCTGCTTCAGGAGTAAGGAATGACACCCTGCCCCACCTTTCTGCATCATCACCATGCTGTCCAATGCCCGTGAATTTGTTGTAACCACAAATTCCAGATACAGATTTCTCTAAGAATGTCAAAACTTCCTTGTCATCTACCATATTCACATTGGAAAGGTGCACATCCACTGTTAAACATCTATTTCCCAACTCCAGATGCTTAATTTCAGCACCAGCTCCAACAAGTGCAACAGGGGGGGAAGCACCAGCCCGTACCTCATGATATAAGCACTTCTCCAAGCATTCATTCCTTAACCACTTTGTTTCATATCTTAAGGCATTATTGACATATTCATAAATCTTTTCAATATCTTTGGACGATGCAAACAATTGAATCTCGTTGTCACCCACATTGATTTCAATTCCAATGCGTTCATCCATGTAAATAGCACGCATGCGAGAAACAAGTGCTATCAAGCTACTATTTGACTTTCCACAAAACCGTTTCAGAGCAACACCTCCAAATCCTTTTATCACCCTCAACTGCAGTTTTCTAGATTCCATCTTTGAGACATCAAATAAAGGATGTATGAAGGTAGATAAACTGTGAAAGTCAATTGCTGTTACACAAACCAAATATTTACTTGATATGGACAAGAGCTCAGCAAAGACAACCCATTGTGGCTTCTGGTTATACACTTGTAATGAACATGAAGGGTGAAGTTGGAAGTATTCACCACTTAAAACAACCTCATAACCAAGGCGATCATATCCAGAATACATAGCTACATTATCTGCTAGCGAA